CATAACGTCAAAGCACCTTTTTGTAAAATGTCATTGGTGTTTTTATAGAGTGAAGCTATATCTACCACGGCATATTTATTTCATTAACCCTGACCTTCCCAAATCCTCCAAAATCCTCTTGCAAAATGGAGGATTTTGCAGGATTGAGGCTACATGTATATATGGCAAAATTGTGTGGCTGATTTTGGAGGATGCACTGTGTCAAGGTCTTGGGCCGGACCCTGTGTTATTTATGCTCAACCGCGCATAAATTTAAGCCTAGATTATACTTGAAATCCCCCGCACTGCTCCAGGATGTCACTGGTTCTGCCTCAACATGTTGACAGTGATTGTTGGAGGATTTTGCAGGATTCAGGCAGTGGTCGCCCCTCCAAGGACAACATTCAAGAAATAACAGAGGATTTTGCGGTATTGAGGCTGTGTGCATTTTTTACATGAATGCAGTTGGAGGATTGAGGTTGCATCCTAGCAAAAATGCCTAGGGAGTTTGGGTTAAATTCCTGTAAGAAATGTCAAAGACTTTTATCACTGCATACTGAAAGTCAATACCTAAATGTATGTCTTAAAGTGTAATGTCATTTACAGTGCTTATATCTCATTAATTAATTCATCCACATGTAGCACTATGTTAACCATTTCATGAGCTAGAGTTGCACCAAATATATAAAATTGGCTTCAATGCGAATAATTTATTTTGTTGTTTCAAAGTGGTCAGTAGGCTCTGAATGTAATGTCTGTAATGATGGAACTGCCCATGTACATGAGTTAGATGTTTTTCCTTTCTCTTGTTGAACAGAGACAGGCAATTTTACTTTCAGTTATTCCTTTGCTATTTTTACCTGTAGCGCTGTCACTGTAATAACATTATATCGATTGACTACAGTCTTTTGAATATTTGTACATGCACAACAAATGCCAACCAGTGGGCTGGTACCGTATTTTTTCCCTTGAGTCCATCGTCATGGTGAAAGCATCTACATGTATTCTGTAAGGCTATCAATTATTAGTGCCTGCATCCATTGCTATGGCAACAGACTGGTGACTGTTATACATGTACATGTAAGAGGAGGTAGGGCTTGTGGCCATCATACGTTGCCAGTTGTTTATCGAGACCGATAAATTACGACATGCCTGAAGGCCACTAATAACGAGCAATCATTGGCGGGCAGAAGTGCGTACCATGTACATGTACATGTATTGTCTGTTTCTTTTTTGGGGGTGTTTTTGTTTGTTTGCTTTTTCATGTACAATTGTCCATTTGTTTTTACACCAAGTGTAGCATATTTGAGACTTCGCTCTTTTTCAGCTCAATTAAAGAGCTGTATTCCTTATAATCCATATTATTAACCTCAGACTGCTGTCTGAGCAGTCACAGACTGTCAAAAAAATTGAATTTTCTCCCCTGCCATGCCTTTCACACAGGCTAGTCACCAGTCAGATCATATTTCAAGCAAGTACAGTGTACTGTGACTAGTCAAATTCAGTCAGACAAAAGCAGGGATGTGGTTGGCAGTTGCAGCACAGCTGGCCTTTAGATATCACATATTGTCAATGCATAGCTGTATCAAGTCAATCAGGCTTTATGTAGGCAGGAAACTTTTAACTGCTAAAAACAGTCACTTGATTTATTTTGACCGAAAGGAAAATTTTGCCCAGAATGCATGTTTATATAGGAAGGTTAAGGTTTAATTCCAATATTGTAAGGAGTCCAAAATCAATATCCGAATTAAGCTAGGGATACAACATGTATGTTTTTTCAGCATGTTACCATGTAGTTGTAATGGATGAAGATCAATGTATACAATATTAGTTCTAGACAAGAGGTTCAGATGCGCCAGCCTAAACATTATTTATTAAGTTCACTTAATTTTGTTTTAAAATGAACATAGTTCTCCTAAATGGCACAACAGATACATAACATACCGATACGTGTAAGGTATGGCTTTTCCTTGGATTAAGAAGAAAATATCCCTACAAGTTTCATTCCCGTACATGCTTGTATTGTCACAATGCAAAATAATTGTGTGTGGATTTTTTGACAGAACACAAAAACTAATTATACAACATCCAATAAAGCAATTTGCCTTTACATGTACTTCAGTGCTGTAGGTTGTAGCGTGACACTAGGACAATTATAAATACACTCCATAGAGTTGGAAATAAATTCAAATTTAATTGAGTCAGGTTTGCGTAGCGGTACTTTCCTCGCCTTCCACCGCTGGGCCAACATGTGGATTGGGTTTTCAGTCCCTGCCTGATTCCGTGTTTTTCCCCAGAATATTCTTCTGGGATTTTCCTCCCACCTCTAAAACTGTAATTTCTTCTCATTGTCTCCTCTCTACAGGTTTCTTCAGGCTTGCGAGCTACAGTGCCTAGGGCGCTTTTGAGGAATCCTTGGTTTCATTACGAGAAATAATCAATAATACATTGTATAAATAATTTTAAATGAGTTGACAATTTCTTTTCAATATTTTTTCCATAGTATGACTCATATTTATGCCAAAACTTGTCCGAACTGAATTTAGATTTCAATGACATAAGAGGGTTTTCAACCAAAAAAGCAAAGCAAAAATAGATCTTTGATTTGAATACCAGAAATTGTATGATTTCTCCAAATCAAGAAACTACTTTTTCCCACATTTTTGTCTGAAATATTACTTTGTGACAACTCTGTCATGTCTGTGGCACTCAACCGAAATGGCTTTGTACGAGATACTAAACTGAACTGTGATTAAAAAAAAATAATTAGCATTGAAACACATTCCTCAAAAAAGAAATACGACCAAAAGCCTATTTATTGCTTTGAGTTTTACAACAGAGTTACTGTATTCAACATCGAACTGCTTATATAGTAGGCCCTATACAGGTTTTTTACTATGTAATCACTTTTTTTCAAAACCTACTGAAAATTGTGACTCTTTACATACAAGAAGTGCTTCAAAAACATGCTTTATTGCAATCTGTGGGTGCGTACAAATGACAGGTTCATTTTTCAAATTATACAAATAACTTTTTAGTTTGTCAATGGTCATGAGCGGGTTTTGCATGATTTTACAATTCATTTTGATGGTTTTGGGACTGCAGAGCCCAGTTGCAGTTGTAATGGGCTTGAAGTCCTAAATCTAAGTACTGCACATGTTCTATTGGTTCAATCAACATACAATGTAGGCCTACATAGTAACAAACACTGAGTCAATGTAAATGAAGATCCCGATGGTACGTGCATGACAGAGAGGTGAAGCTTCACTGCCACTGAAGTCAATATTTTCTCCTATTTTGGTGTTACAATGGATCCTCATTTTAAAATCCAAAATTCACCCTCTTTGTTAATCACGTTTTTGGTTCCTTGTCACAGGGAAGTTAGTCTGCAAGTCATACTGATATTAATTACATGAATTATGGCCACTGCAAAAAAAAACTCATTCAAAAATGCACAATACGGTCCGTGACTAAAAGAGGTGCAGGGGAAATATTGCTCCATTAGCAAGCACTTTCAATTACGAGGGGCACAGAAATGAAGTGCGGTCAATTTTGCAGTTAATTATTTATATCAGTTAATTATGTATATTCCAGTGATAAAAAATAAATCAGCGTATTGCACATGTATGCTTTCGTACAAAGTACCCCGATAACTGCAATGCTATGTCAGTAAAAGTACCCGGATGACGACAATATTATTTTTGATATTGTCCTCGTCTGGCTGGGCATTTTTCAAATTTGCTTGTTCCTGCTGTAGAAACCCACAGTTGTTAACCAGCTTCGAGCGGCGCAAGATTCACTTCAAAGAATTCAAAGAATTGAGAACTAAAGATGCTGACAATGCCAGGAAAGCAACCAAGATATCAAGCAATGATATTTCGTTCGGTTGAACCAGGTGAAATAGAACGAAATTAAGTTCTCAATTGGAATATCACTCCGCTACACGGAGGTGAAAAGGAGTTAGTAGGTGGTAAAACCGTGGTATAAATAGAAAGGGATAAAGGGTTGGCTTCATCTGCGCACCGACAGGCAACGAGTTCACATACTATTTTAATTGTTACTTTAAAACAAATGTGATGCTGAGAATGGAGAGCTTAATAGGTCTAACAAAATCAGCACTATTCATGGGGTTTTCCCAGAGTATTTTCCATGAGTTTTTATCTCTGGTTTTTCACTCCGTGGATGTGCGGATTTTGTTGGGAAGATATACATAAGTAAATAAGTCATAGGAGTCAACTTCATATTAAAACATCTTGGTAGAATGTATTTGAATATAAATAATCCTGATAAATAAATAAATAATAATGATGTGATATACAAACTTATCTTAAAAAAAATAAATAATAATAATACTAATAAATGGGTAACACTGCAAAGCCTGTCGGTGACAAACCCAATGTTGTAAACAAATTGGAGTGATGTGGAGGTTATTGAGAAGTAAATATTCTGTGAGTACTTGTACCGGTATCTGCTCAAGAAGAAGCTACTGATGGATTTTGAGACGCTGGAAAATCTTTCACTATCGGGTATTTTGTTGAAGTTAACGTTGAAGTATTGAGGAAGCAGTCGCCGATTTTTACAAGACAGTGACATGAAATGTATTTTTTTGCGGATCAAGTCAGCCTGATATAAACAATAATAATAATATTGGATGAGGTTTTTCAGGGGATACAAGAATATATTGCACTCGTTATAACAATATTATAGCTCCTGCAGTATATTCTTGTATCCCCCTCAAAGCCATCCAATATAAATATTCTAAACACAGAAAATATTTGCATAGCAATAAAACAGGTTAATTACACGCCAAAATGGTAAGAGACGAATGCTGGTTGTGAACTATATTTAGCACATAATTTTGCTAATTTCAAGCACTCTCCTGAGAATGGACAGAGTACACTTTCCAAAAACATTGTGAACAATTCTCACCTCCGGTTCTTTTCAGAACCACACTTCTCCACAGAAGAGTTATTCCATGGTGTAAGGCCCTGGGCCCTGTCTTACCCCTCAGTATATCTTACCTTTGTCCGAGTAGAGCTCTCCTAAGGCAGGTTTTGCCAGCCCCAGCTTGGCCAATGATCATCAGGCGTGTCCGGTGCACCGCCTTGGTGCCAGAGTTGGCGGCGACTTGGAATGCAGCGGCAGCCTCGGGCCCCCTGGCCAGGACTTCTGAAGGCACGTCATCTTTGACTGCAGGAGAACAGACAGATGTTACCAAAGAAGATGCCACTTACTGATTAATCTTCTCATTTCCACCATGCATGATTTTGATAAATTGTTTTTGTATTTGTGTCAATTTGGTTAAACATAGTCAACAGTGAATGTTTAAATAAGGGTCGTTCCTTATCTATGGGGTTCAAAAGTGTGACATTTCTTGTGTCCCTATTACACCTGACCTGTGTGATTTGCCATGCAAGTATCATTAAAACTGACTTCAAACTATTTTTCATTTGTTTGGCAGGAACTATGCTTTACACAATCACCCTTAACCAATTGTTCATCCACCCTTTTCAGAATCAAACACAAGATTTCAGTGTTAACGACACCCTCTTAAAGGCTTCTTCCAGTGTTAACAGCCCCACCTATGGGTGTCTTTCACACCAAAAGCTTGTTGTTCTAATTTGAAGAGCGCCGCAAAAAAACTTGATTCAGGATTTCATATTGTATTAAATGCAACATCCACTATTCTAACTATCACCGATATTACATGCACATGAAGGTACAGGTACCAGTATGTGAACAGAGACTTTACTTTTAGCCTAAAAGTTGTCTTTTTTCCAAATGAACCACAAAAAGAAACTGACAACGTGAAATTATAATAATTTTAAAAGTTGAAAAATGAAATTGACTGGGGCAGGATTTGAACCCGAGACTTGCCATTCCAGTGCTCTACCAACTGAGCTTACAGCCCTATGTTGGCGGTTCCTCAATTTGTTCAAGGGGTGCTAGTCAGAAGCAATGAACCCAAATATGTCTTCCCAGGTCTGCATCATGATTTTGGACGTGATCCCTGGCTGCATGACATAGGCCTACAGGTTTATGGCTTCTGACTAGCACCCCCTGAACAAAGACATTGACGAAGTGAGGAACCGTGACGAAGTGAGGAACCGCCAACATAGGGCTGTATAGCTTAGTTGGTAGAGCACCGGAACAGCAATTCATAGGTCCCAGGTTCAACCCAGCCCCGGTCAATTATATTGTTCAACTTTAAAAGTTATCTGTAAAATGTTTGTGTCATGGTTTGGTCTACCCAACTAAGTTTGACAAAGTTTAGATTCTTAAAAATATAAGAACAATGTTCTTTGTAAGAGAGTTTTGTCATGCACACTTACTAGGTTGAATACATCGTAGAGAAACTGTCCATCCATACAGGTCTAGTATCACCCAGACGGGTCTATTAACATCGACTGATCCTTGTGGTAGCTGGTACTGCTGTAGATGTTCATTGTTTATAAAAAACTGTACAACCCTCTCTCGTGTGTAGAATAACGAAAAGAGGTTCTCTGTCTTGGCCTTGCTCTCTGGGACGGACTTGGCCCATGAGCCAGGCAGATCAGTTAGATTGGGCAAGAGGTACTGGGGTAAGGCACCGGGGTCTAAGCCGTCTGGATTGCGATTGGTCAGTCCGACTCGTAAGGCACCATTCCAGCAGGTCTCATACTTGCAGAATTCAAACGACACCCTCCGCCCGGGCTCCAAGGGTTCACTGCTAAAGACAATCGCGTGGCTGAAGCCGTTGACGCGCGTGGCTGTAGTGCCATCTTTGGAGAGTTGGATGTTGGCTCCATGGCAACGAGGATGAAAGAGCATCTTCACTGAGGGTGTGACAGAGCGCAGGTCTTGGCTCTTACAATGTAACTGACACCTTGAATCATCATCACAGACACTAGGAAAGGACCAGACTGATCACATGTTGACAGTCGGGTGTTCACATTGGTACGCAGTTTCAATCTTGTATTAACTGTTGAAGAATAAAGACAAAAATGACACAATATTATTCACTTGAGCTGTTCTGTTCTATCACATTAACCCTAACTCCCTAGCATAATTTACTAGGAACCATACCCATCCTGGCAAATTCCAACACCCACATTGGAATTGTACACACACACTGTTGGGCTTAGTTTCTGGAGGTATGCCAAACCCAGGGTAAAAGACCATCAGTTTAAGGGTACTGTACCTATCCCAACAGATTTAAACAAAACCTGCTGTTGAACTTTGATGGGTTGAGTTCGGTTAGGGTTAACCCTCCTATGCAAATATACATTCTGTGTCAAGTAGTCCTTTCAGTCAAAATCAGTCAAGTGACTGTTCAAGGTTCAAGTTTTAACCCTAATGTACCTGAATCCACCAATATTCACACCCCTGTTTTGGAGTATTTCGGCGGACTCAGGATACCTTCATATTGAAAAGGTTGGGGAATTTTCATAGATTCAGGACAGTAAGCCTAGCGGAACTACAGGATTTTGATGGATTCAGGATACCTCACTATTGAGCAGTTGGGGGACTTTGATGAATTCAGGATCTCAACAGTTTAACTCCTTGGATATGTTTGTTGTGTATGATAAATGTACTACACTGGTGGATTCTGATGGACTCAGGACACCAATATTTTTTGGCATGACAAAATTGATGGATTTTGGCGGATTCATGATACTTTCTAGTAAAAAGGCTCAAGGGGTTAGGGTTAAGGTTGAAGGTTTATTTATTTATTATCAAAATCAATCAATAATAGAAAATAGTTACAAGTAATACAACAATCCACAGATGCTATAGAAAGTGAATGTTGTGAAGACACTGCAGAGGAGCCCATTAAGAAGCAAAGCTTGTAAGCATGGCCCCAGAAAGTCATGCTCATTGAGCCCAAACCAAGAGAAAAGAAATAACATACAACGCACAATATGGAACGGGCAAGGCACACAATTTACAAAGAAAAACAAAACACAGTACACATTCAGGCACAAACAACAGACAGACACTACAGATCAAATAAACTAGCCAGGTCAGCAAGGAGCAATAAAATAAGGGGTATACTAACCAGAGGCATGAATCAACGGTAAGTTTGAATTAAGATTTCAAAAGCTAATTTGGTCTGTGAAATTTGGATGAAATTAGGCCCAACAATGGCTCTATATTTTGCAATGGAGCGTAGGCGTTCATTTCCAAATGGTGATGGGCTTCAGGACCACGGGGTGATCATCTTTGGATGAATTTTTTCCCAAAGGTTATTACTTAACCTCCAAAAAATCAACCGAATTCAGATTTACATAGTCATTCAAAACTGCAAACCCCTGCTCTAATGCTCATCAGGAATTCAACATTTAGAGCTTATGGATGTACATTGTTTCCATACATGTTTGTTGTAATTTTGAAATATCAGCCAATCAGCATCTAGCCCCATAAATGTGGCCTATTTACTGGACTGCCTCCGTAAACATAGGCCACACATCCACATGTACAAAAATCGTGTCGACTTTGCCAAATTTTGATTTTCACATTTAGGCTGTTTGTAGGGTTTTTTTGCTTTAGAAGCATACTCACCCTCTTTATAGGCTAATCAGAAAGTGCTGCCTTTTTCAGATGTATATTTTTCGTGAAATTTCCAGATTCATTTTTACACGTTTGCGTATCAAAATTTCAACATGAAATTTCACAAAAATTAGACATCTGAAAAAGGCAGCACTTTCTGACTAGCCTATAAAGAGGGTGAGTATGCTTCTAAAGCAAAAAAATCCTACAAACTAAGCCTAAATGTGAAAATCAAAATTTGGCAAAGTCGACACGATTTTTGTACATGTGGATGTGTGGCCTATGTTTACGGAGGCAGTCCAGTAAATAGGCCACATTTATGGGGCTAATCAGCATGCTTTAATTGCAATCGAACTTTCAAAGTTGCCATCTTTGTTTTTGAGCCTGTTTTCTGGTTGTTGTTGTTGTTGTTGTCTTTTAGTACCACGTAATTTCCCTCACAAATCAAAGCCCTGCCCTCTTCACACAACATTAAACCTGCCAATATTCAAGAAGGTGTCATGACTGTTCAGATGTGTCAAGAAATATCAGAATGTCACTTTTGAGTGACAGCTGTTCTGGTGAGTCTCTATTTAAAGTTATTTAACATATTTAACCTTGTAAATATAAGTTATAGGCCGTGTACCTGTTTTGGAGGCATCAAGTTTTCGAGGTTTGACCTTGTAGAGATGTACACGCGCAGATTCGTAACACACAACCAGTTGATTTGTTGTGTGTGAGGTACGTGTTCCACCGCCAGCCCCCCAAAAATTGGAAACCGAAGGCTATGTCACTTGTCAGTGTTTTTCTTTTGCTTGATGATATGAATCCTTCCACCCTCGAACCGGTACATCACTTGTAGTTGTACATCGAGGATATAGAATGGGGTCCTAAAATACATCCTGTACTAGTACATGTACCATGCAGGTATGCATCCGTACTAGGCCTACATCACTACATGTATACCCTTTTTACCAGCACAGTTAGAGCATGGAGAAATCTCGAAATCTCCATGGTTAGAGAGATGATTCGCCATTTCCATCTCTTCATCATGGTTTTCATCCATAGGCCGGCTGGCTTTTTTTATAATTAAAGACTCCTTAAACAAGTTACTTACATGCCCACGACAACATATAGAATTTTACTTACATCAACATGATGTACATGTATGTTTCACGTCATTCTTTCGTCTGATACTAGCATCTAATGTTACACGATCCGTGCTTAAGCCGCTGCACTCACAATAAATCGTTTACTTACTACATTTGCAGCGATGTCAGCGAGCCGCCAGACGGTCGACCGTTCTAAATTTATTCCCCCATTAGATCGATGGTATCCTCAACCCGGCGTACGTGGTTGTATCGGTATCGCAGTGTACCAGTCCAATCAATAAATCACCTGTTTGTTGTATACGTTTATCTCCCCCCACGAAGCTCATACTAAATCTCGTACGTACAAGTAGCCAGCCTTAATTATACAGAGGGCGCTATGCTCAATTAATGGGCCTTAGTTCGGGGGTGGTTACGCGAAGACGAGATGGTTTGGCAGCTGTCATCTATACTCAAACACACTTTTCTTGCATTTCATAAACCTTTCATATTTAATTCAGATGTTTTCATCCGCTCACCCTATCATGTACACCCACTAAAGTTCGGTCACAATCATTATGGGGAGGTGACGTGACGTTGATATTAAGAGGGAAAAAACATAACAACTTTAAAACTTCAGCTGATAAGCATTCCACAGATTCATGCAATAATTCTGAGGAATTGGAAAGAAGTGGTTTTGTATATTTCTTGAATGAGAGTTCAGCAGCCCAGCACCAGGTGTGTAAATCGAGACTGAAGTTGTTGTTTTTCCTTGGTGGGAATCTGCTAGCTTTTACCACATGACCTTATTGATTCACCAGAAGCATTTTAAAGTGGAAACATTTCAAACTGGGGGGGGGGGGGGGGGGGGGGCAACACCAAAAAGGGACACTTATTCAGAAAAAGGGGCACCTTACGTACCTCCCGTCGGTGTGAAAGTGAGAGCCTTTGGCGCCCGAAATGGTGGATCTAGAACACACATTTTTCTTGGGGGGGGGGGGGAGCCAAAAAATTTGGTCCAGAAAAAAGTGGGTCCACAAATTCCCGGCGTGGGTTCGGAGCCCGCTTTAAATTATAAGGGGCGAGGGGAAATGGATCCTAGATTCTAGACCACTTTAACAATTTTTTTTCAGGAAAAGATGGTGGTGTACGTAGTGGCTGCCTTTTTGTGACTTTTTTTTTGGGGGGGGGGCGGCATGGCCACGTTGTGCCCCCCCCCCTTGGATCTGCCCTTGGGCCTTCAGCACACTGCACACTCTCCGCCCCCGGCAGTTACCTCTGGGTCCGCCCATGAATATGACTAGTTATGTAGAGGGGTGCTTTCGAGGGGCAGTTTTGTCAAGAAGTTATCGCGAGAGGAGCACTATTGATCTCGAGGGGGCACATTTATAACCACGAGAGGGCCACTTTTGTTGGTCTGGGAAAATCGGGGGGGGGGGGGGGGGGGCGAAGTGCCCCCCCCCCCCCCCCCCCCCCCCCGTTCCGCCGCCCCTGCTTATGTCTAAAAAAGTTTTTTTTAATTTAATTTTGAGTGAGGGGGGGGGGGCAGGAGTGGGGCTGGGGGTTAAAGAGATTTTGGGAGTTAAAGTCTCTTGACCCTTTGTATATTGACCCTTCATGACTGCTCTGTATATCATCCCTATTTAACTTAAAAGCTTTTTATGTTGTCTATTAAACGCATGCGTTGTGGTTCAAAATTCCAGGTTTAGAGATGACACACCCAAACTTCATACTGAGGCTTCTAGAAAACATGCAATAACTTGAAATAAATTCCTATTTCTGAATTTGATACATTAGTTTTTGAACATTTACTTTTTATTGTTCTTTTTTGTCCCTTTTCTTCAAACATATCTTTCACCTTTCGATCGCACAACCCTTAACCAAATTGATGAGGCTTGTAGATTGCAATGTAATGTTTTTTCAATTATCTAAATTATACTCTAAATTTTCAAAAGATTTGTTCTGCTGAACAAAGTTTTATTGTGGGAGATGGTATGATTTTGTACTACCAAAGAAAGTCCATTATACCTTCATTTGGAGCAGTGTGTACAAACGTATGCAGTAAAAAAATCAACTTGAAAAATCAAAGTCCTTGTCATCATTGACCATTGGCCTCATTTTACAGTCTCATATCCACGTGTGGTGCTTTCGCTATACAATGATGCCTTTCTTTTTCAGTTCTTTCTTCTTCTTCCTCTCCTCCTTCTCAATCTCCTGGACCATCTTCTGGAAGCGGGTGCTGCGGGGATCAATGGCATATCCCAGTTTCTCTTTGGCCTCCTCCAGGAGACGATTCCGCTTGGCGATCTGCTCCTGTGCCAATGCTTCCTTCTCTGTCATCTTCTTGCGGTGCTCAGCGAGCATGCGGGGCATCTTGGCCATGTTGGCTGCAATCAACTGCTCTCTGCATAAGGAAAGAAAATTCTACAAGTCAGAACAATTATAGAGAAGTTTATTCAACTCTAAGGGGATGATTTATCAAATCAAAACCACTAGCTAAAATGATCCCAAAATAACAAGTGCAGTGAGAGATTGATCATGTGGATGACAGCACTCATGTTTTTTTGTTTTTTTTCAAACAGTACCTCTGCTTACCACAGTGTCATTACTTTTTGTATATTTACTTGTTTAGACAAGAAAAGAAGAATTAGTTTTAACACTCGCTGTCTTAATCTAGATCACAACTTTCATTTATTAAAATCTGACTCACGACAGAGAAAACTAGCTTGAGTAACTCCAGCTGACATGCTCATATTCATTCACATGAACATGTCAGCTGGAGTTACTCAAGCTAGAGAAAACATACTTTAAGAGCCCCCTTGCCTTAGTATTATAGAGGAACATACATTTATATCAAATCTTCGATACAACCTAAATACAGAAATCCATTTTCCTTTTATTTTTTTTACAACATGAAAGACAGGGGGGTTGGGGGTTGGGTGAAAGAACATGCACAAGTTTAAGTGCCCGGGCTGTTGACCTACATGATTTCCTTAGCTCTAGCCTTAGGCCTACCTTTTCTTTCTTTTCAACTCGATGGCATGGTTTTCTTCTGCTATTTCTGACTGCATCTGTTGCAAAGACGGGCACCACTCCTCTTCATCTTTGATGATATTTTCAAGTTCGGTCTGAGTTGGCCACATGATACTGGGATCAACACCTGATGCTTTTCCCTGCTTTGCATACTGTTTGGCCAGATACCGCCTGGTCATCTTCCATATCGGTGGTGGCTCCTGTACCCGCGGCTGTTCGTCGGCATGGTCGGACAAATCGTGGCCGTCCACAAAGTCAGTGTCTGTTTGTCCATTAGTTACGGCTGCTTTTGTCTTAAAATTACTACAGAACCTCACCCCACAGATTCTGAAGACGAAATTTTCACCTAGTAATGGAGTTAAAGGGGTAATCCGAGGAACAATCGCTGCTGATGGCCGGGAGACAAGAATAAAGATTTTCGTCGATATGGAGGCCGCCATTTTGTTTAGTTTCAAATTTGAACAATGAGGGCGCCATAACCAGAGACCATGCCAGGAGATTAGGGTCTCCAGTAGCTACTTGGTACTTGGTACTTGGTTGGTTTCCTCCTGAAACATCATCTAGGGATCTTGACTAGGAGGTCACGGGGAGGTGTCGGCACCTAGGTCTCGGTCATGATGTGGTTGTAGTAGTTGTCCCTAAAGGTCTTGTGCGTCAAAGAGTCGGTGATGTGTTGGGGCAGGTCATTCCATAATTTAATTGTCCTTGGAAAAAATGAGTTCTTGAATACAGTTGAGGATGTTTGCACTATGTTAAATATTGGTTGTTGTTCCCCCTCCTGGATCTCTGTGTTTTTGGTTGAAGAAAGTCTGAAGCATCAATGTCAATGGTGTGAGTGATGATCTTGTAGAGTTGAGTGATCTGGTGGGTTTCCCTCCTATCAGTTAACTTCTCCCATCCAAGAGACGATAACATGTGGGAGACACTACTCTGTCTGGTGTAATCTCCATGAACGAAGCGTGCAGCTCTGTGCTGAATTTTCTCTATCGCAGACTGATGACTGATTTTATAAGGGTTCCATGCTGCTACACCATATTCTAAGAGTGGCCGGACAAGTGTGAAATATAACCTTTCCTTAACGTTTTTGGAGCTCATGTAGAAATTTCGTTTGATGAAGTTGAGGACTCTCGTTGCCTTGGTAACAGCATGCTGCGTCTGATTTTCCCATCCCAAGTCATGTTGGATTTTTATGCCCAGGTACGTAAATTCCTTGGTTGCTTCAAGACCCACTCCATCCATCTCATAGGCAGGTTCACCCAGGGTTGCGTTTCCGAGAGACTCGCATCGATTTACATTTGCTCGCATTAAATCGCATACCCCACATAGTAGCCCATCCAATGAGGTTGTCTAGGTCAGCCTGCAGTAATTTCTCATCTTCATTGGTAGCTGGCCTACGCGTTAGAGCCTTCATGTATGCGAGGCTGTTCTCTGATTTACAAAACCACTTATTTCCAATTCCTCAGAATTATTGCATGAATCTGTGGAATGCTTATCAGCTGAATGCACAAAAGGTTTGCTCATGCCTATCCTAGTGATACAAAACTATTGCCCTCCGACTCCGCCTCAAGGCATTAGGTCTATAACTCGAAGTTATCACAACTTTCATTGCACCAAATAAGAAATCAGTAAGGTTGCATAAATTCCCTTCTAGTATAGGCCTTTCCTAATTAATTAATGAATTATGCAGATGCGTTGCCTAACCTGGGACGAAAGCCCTGCGCAGGATGCACTACAAACTTTCAGCATGTGTAAAACAGAGGCCGATCATAGACCATGTGCCCTGTAACAACAACATAATGTCACATGGTCTATGTGATCAACTGATAGTAGGCTAAACTATTATGCCGACCCCAAGCGGACTTTATCACCGCACTACATGTATACACTGCAGAGTACTGAACAAACATTTGGAAGTTGATTGTGTTATAATAGCTAGGGCACACGTCTGACCTGCGATTGAAACGCATCGTTCTACAATATTCAAGATAACAAATAAACACAGCCAGTTTTGTCCGTCAGCTAAGTTGGAGCGGGAATACGGCCAAAATAAAATACAAACAGAAACAAACACACAAACAAACAAACAAATAAACTTTTTCTCCATATCTGCACTTTACCCGAAGCAGAAAAATCAAAACGATTGTGCATCCATCATAGTTTGATACTTTTTTGAGTAGGCCCTTGTTACTCTCCTGTGCTGATGCAAATTTGAGCCCATTTCGTCATCAACCTGTAGTGCAATAATGTTTATTAGAATAGAATAGAGAAAAAAAGTCATTACTTGCTCGTTATATTCCTATCAATCATCTTTATCTGGCGGGATCATCTTCGACTCTTGAACCCTGATTAAAACCAGCACAACAAAGCAAACCACGCCGCGCACAGCCATACAATGCTGGATACTACATGTAGCATTATGTTATGTTAATGTCGACATCAGTTGCCGAGAATTCAACCATTCCAGAGGTCCACGATGGTTTTACGGTATGTACACGTTCACTTTCTCTGTACTTCGGATAGAAACGTAGCCCTTTTACTTTGTTTTGGTAAATGTGGACAAGTAAAAGGCAAGCCTTCTAGTATTTGGACAGCGATGCATTTTATACAAACAACAAATGCGCGGGGAATCGAAGTCGTAAACAACTCAGCTGTAAACATCCAATCCAAATAGGCCTAGTAATGACTGACATCGAGTTTTCCGAGAATACAAAGTGTAAAAGCGACTAATAACGAAACATGCACCAGATTCTGTACTTTTTAATGAATGGCCGTCAGAAAGGTATCAAAATAACAAAATGTTCTTGTAACGGACAACAGTAAGCAAGCAAAAAGTACCACAGCAGTATTTCGAATTGACTATCCCGAAAAATACTTTATTTTTCTGGCTTCCAATTTAACAAGACTATAGGCAAGCCTATGGTAAAGCTGGTCCAAAGCATATAGGCCCTACATTGAACACTCCATTGATTCAGAAAGGCTATTCGCTGGAAGTATCAGTCTGCACAGCAATGGGCCGGATTGAGCCCATTTATTGGTGTTATACGGGGTAACCCTATACGATAGCACGGCCAGGCAGTCAGTATGGGAGTCGGTGAGTCAGTCCGATACTCAAACACAAAGGCTGTGCAATTCAAACACAGACGAACATACTTTTCCAATTATATTGCTTGACTATAATTAACCGCAGTTAACAACCGCAAAAGTCGTCATGGGGAACTGTGGCCCATAATAAATGGGTCCCGATGCGTGACTACCGCCGTATCCAGGATACGCGTCCTAGATACGGAGGCAGTCCAGTGTCTAGGCCCCCGTTACTGTATAAGGGGAACCATTGAATGCTAAAATGCAGTTTTGAACTTTATATTTATTGTTTGTTCAAGTTTCTACCTGAACACTCGACAAATTTGCGATGCACTAAAACTGAATGTGACCAATACAATAGAGTCTACAACCAGTCTATATATTATATTCACGATAAGATAAAGCTGATCCACCCATGGTCGGGATTAATGTGGCTGTAACGGATCATGCTCTGTCGTAAATAAAATGTTAGGGCACTGCAATAACACGCTGAGTTGAGAAAACACGATGTAATAAAAAAATACGACCTCGGAACATTTTGTGTGTGTGATGCTGAGCATTAATGTTTTTCGATTTTATAAATGTAATTGCGGTAATGTGCAAACAATAATATTGTGAGCATCTAGAAAAGTACTGACTTGTGTTTGCCTCTTCAGAACAACTGTACATTGTACTTTTTTAAAAACTGAAGGAATTAGATTTTTTAAAGATTATATGTAATGGCAGCTTCTTAACTTAAGGGGGCGCTCTTCGGGAGAGTAAAAAGTGTCATCCGATGAATAAGAGTCCACTCCAAATTGCACCGTGTAAATTACCCAACGCCATCCGAATTATTTCTTGCATACATGTATTAACGCTAATTATTATGAGCTTTCAGCTCAAATTCAATGATAACACAGCCCAAAACTGTCCCATATAATGCAACGCAACATGCGAAGGCCTATGCGGTTACCATAATTTGCCGCTATGTCATCCAATTTAGAGTATATTGAAAAACCTAAATTATAGGCTATATAAATGAATATAGGCCTACTTCTTTTGATTTTTCTTCTTTAAATTTCAGGAATTAGGGATAGTCATTGTATTATGCGTTAATTCCACCTATTATGTTGAAATAAATGCTGCTAGCGCGCACATGCTAAGAGTTCATAGCCCTTTCATTACAAACCAATTAATCAAGTGAAAATGACAAGTTAATGAGAAAACGGCGGGCTCCTACACCAGTCGGCAGTTACAGAATAATGTCCACAATAAACTGTTGTACAGATTAATAATTTCCAACGGAGCATTATGATGACAACCGTCGTTGCAGTCTCCCGTGATTTTGTTTTATTATGATTAGGTTGGTGTTTGCTAATCGACGCTTGGGCGCACTCGTAAAGTCTTACGGCCTTCCACTTTTTTCTCTTTCCAGAAAATTGGTCATTATGTTGATGGATATAATTATAGTCACTGCTTAATTCATCTTGTTGGAGACAGAGCTTTTTAAAACCCAGAGCCGTGGAAATTAATCATCGCTTCTGAAAGTGTGAGAGAAACCCAAAAAGGGGATTTCTACTCCACTGCGGTCCAATTCAATTACTGACCCCGATTTGGTCGTTAAGATGGATGGAGAATACCAACCTGCGAGGCTGCGCCTAAAATATCCTTGTATAAAATACTTAGTAGGCCCATACCAAATGTATGCGACGGTGTTACACCTCGAAAATACTTTTGTGATTGGATAATAGTGATGTCCCCGAGAGGCCAAACTCAATGCTGAGACATCAGTCATTTTGGTCAATGTGAAATGGTAAACGTGCCAAATCAATATTAAACCCGGCATTTATGTAAATATTTCGGCCGTTATAGGAAAACAATAATTCAACAGAATTCAACGGAAAGATTTATACAATTCTTGTGTTTATATTCAAGGTGTTTTCGACGAGATTCAGCGAAACGAGATCGTGCGTTCAGTGTTGGAAACATTTCCATTGAAAATCTCTCGAAGGTCTTTTTCAACTGGGATCTCATTTGCACCGTGATCTGAAGAAAAGCTGCGGATATTAGTTTTGCCTTAGCAGTTTACCGCGATAACGTGCCTCAGCAGTGACTGTTTTTGTCCGGATATTTTCCGCAAGAAGATCTGAACAAAAACTACGATTTGTAGTGATTCCCAAATTACGGACTGGGCCATTGCCCTGGCCAATTTGGCCTCGGGAACTACATGCTTAGCTTTGTCTGACGTTTTTGTCGTCTTCACATTACTCAAACATCATTATTAACGCTCTCGTGCTACGAAACCAGTCGACCTTCCATGAATGAACAAGTTGCTGTAGGTATTCTTTTTGAGTGTTGGGGGAAGAGCCAATGGCAGGCATGGAGGGAGATGATCGTTGGGCTACCCCGGTCCAGCGACCGAGGCCTGTCTCCAGTCAGCGGGTGAGAAGGTATTCTATCCCCGCTGGATTGTATTCCACAAAGACGGAATTACAACTAGATGAGAGAGCGGGGTTTCTAGGCAACACCGCGGCTGATTATGAGAACCATGAGGCTAATCATCATCCGTATGCTGCTACTACGGGGAGAAGGTTACGGGCTTATAGTGAGCGGGCATATTCCAAAGGGAAAGCAGCTTATAGGGAGATTAAAACCGAGGATCGTAGAGAGAGTGCAAATCAAAGACGAGCTCAAAGTAAGAGTTTCTCAAGTGGAGATTTAGTGCGGGGTGAGGGTTTGGATAAACACAGGAGCATCGTGCGCCGTAGGTCAGTGTCAGACGACAGCCAGGAGAGCAGTCATGGAGTTGACAACTCGACATCGCCGTCATTGACTGAGTCGGGGAAACACCTGTACCCCCATCGACCTGTCATCATGCAGGTGGCCGAGGAAACGTTGCCAGGCAGCAGGGAGAGGAGGCGACCCGGATCACTGTTGAAACAGCGAGAGAGAACACCTGCGTTGAATGTCGATGACGGGGCGATGCGGCATGCGCACAACCATGTGTTATCATCGTTATCATCATCATCGCGTGTGAACACCGTCAGCGATACATCACACGGTGATAGCAGTGAAAACATCAGCCCGAGACCACCAAACAGCTCGGCCAACCACCGGAGAACCCGCCGGCTGAGCTCGGCAGGTGAATCTGCCAGCAGCCCGGTGCCGACACTCGGAAGTAATTTACGGGAGGTTTCAAGTGGGAGAAGCAGGAGAAAATCCACGTCAGTCTTACCGTCCATCACCCACTCGTCGCCAGCGTCTAACGCGGGCATGGCGACGCCGCAACCACCTCCGTATTCCCAGCATGGGCCGGGCTCACGTAAAGGCCTGGCAGCAGGAGCTGGAGGATTGCAGAGCCGGTCACTACCCGAAGAAAAGCTCGATGACGAGGAAGATGTAAATGCCGTGCACGCTGACTTGCTCCTACTGACTCGTAAGAAGAAAATCAGCTCTAACGTGAGTGATGAGTACAGGCTGGCTTTGGATGATTTGAAAATCGCACCCTCCAAAAAGCCGACCCCTCCAGTTGGTAAACGGTTACTGAGTAAGAGATGGAGTTCCCTACAAACATCGGTCCTTGCAAAGAACAACGGGGATTTGGGGGGAACTGTCGGGAAAGACCAATCGTCAACAGTGGGGGGTTCGGGCGACATGCCCAAAGACGGTAAACTTCAGCATACGGATGACACGAACAATAACGAACTGAGCGAACCGCGCAGACACCGGGGTTGGGAGATCGTCCGAGCCAAACTCACGACAATTGCAGACATGGCTCCTAAAGATAGCATCGATTCCAAACCACTGACCTTCCGCAATATCGCTGATTTAGTCAAAGCCAAGGAGTTCCGCCTGATGATGAAACGCAGGGCAAGTTTCATCGAGAACGGAAGGTTTCAGTTCGACGAGGCTAAACAGGACCTGTACCGGCGATACGGTGGACGGCCGGCCGGTAACTTAGCCCCCACCGCCCCGTCTGAGAGCCACAACAATCACGGTCGAAAAACAGACGGGGGAACGGGAACACGTGTGGTTAACAGGAGAAAATTGCTTGGTCTTTCTGGAAGCCTTTAAACACATCTGTATTATCTTTTACCTTTACTCTGTAAAACGACCCACAAGCCTCTTGTTACCAAGGTATTTTTCTCATGTTCTTTTTGCTTAACCATTAACTGATCAATCATGCATGGCTTAGAAATGTTGAACACTGTGCCTTGGAGAATTACATACGGATCCGCCATGAGAAGTTCATACAAAGCTTCACTCGCATTTTGCTTATGAATAAATCAGTACCAAAAGTAAAGAACAACAATGCACCTTGCAAAACTTTGAAAAGCCAAAATAATTGAGCAGAACAGAACAGAGCTTAAGTGCCTGTATTTTTTTTCCTTCAGGTATTTATTTATCAGCGTAAAGAACACTAAAAATCAGCTTGTCTTATCGCATTAAAAGCTCTAATGTAATATAAAGCACTTGTAAATATTTACAGTGGATAGTTTGTTCTAACTTATTTGCTGAACTACCTGATTTTGTCGATAAGATAAAGATAGAAAAATGCGATGTCACAGTGTTAGTGGCTATTACACCGGAATTTGAGGTTTCCTTTTCAGTTTTACCAACAGTTTCATTATTATTATTGTTGTAACCAATTCCTAGTCTTGGATAAATCTGAGCAGCCTAACCATTTGTTTTCCCGCAAAATATCTTTCGCAGACAATTTTTCATTATTGGATGTAATTTCTAAATAGTTTGACTTGATGTTAAAGTTTCCATATCTTCAATCTCACATCTCGCTCTTTCCAATGACAAACTTATTCATGTCACTCTAGTATCATTATGTATGGAGCCATTTTTTTGTGGTTCGTTATCACACGTAAAGCTCTAAAAAGCTTCATTTGTTTGCTTGCTTTTCCGGTTAAATATTCACCAGTATAATGTGTGTGTCAACAGTACCGTGAAATAAGGTTGGACCATCTGTTTTCCCTCGTATTAATAAGTCATGCGTATTCACATAAATCAGTCGAAAATGGGGGGACATTATAAATGAGTAACTCTGCAATGATTAACTCTTTTTGACACGATAGAACGACAAAAGGGCTGGGTTTTTTTAATAGAAGAATTTGGTATAATTAATTGAGAATTTTGCTTTCTTGGGGAAGAACTTCGTAGCGTCTTTGAATCCTCTCCTTCGAAATAATCATTTCGGTAATTTCGCTGAGGTTTTTTTTTTCATGAAGCGTTTACTTTTAACTGTAGGAGATTGGCCAACTACTATATCGTGAGGAATGTACTACGATGCAGCGATTGCTGTTTAGTGCAATATTTTCGAGAAGCATCATTTTAAGTGTGACAGCACAGTCCATCCAGTTCGCAATTGGTTGTAAAAATTGACAATCTAACTTTAAAAAAAAATGTGTTTATTCAATTATATGTTAATACTGTTGAGCGATGTATGAATTATCTGTATATCGATTGCAAAAAAATTGTTGGTTAATAATTGACTGGTAATTTAATAGAACACGAACTCGTTCCTTGTTACAAATATTTGCATTTTGTTCAACAATTTGTTCAACAAAAATGGCCCACCGGAAAAGATATATACATATACTGTAGACATTTCTTCTTTTTTGGAGAAGTAAAAAAAAGTAGAAGCAAACCCACAAAAAAACCCCAACAAAGCACGACAATGTTGACGCAAGAAGTGGCCATTATGAGACCGTTCACGTTAAGTGTTTTTATGCTTTGCGCCTTCAGCAAACCCAAACAAATCGTGTCTTTTTTCGAGTAGTTTTTGGGTTATCCGCGAAGAGGTCGTTAGAACTTGGAGTAGCTTGGCAACAAACACTAACAGTCGGTAATCCGCGGACGGGCTTAACTTAAAAATACCACCGTTGTATTCACTGGATCTTGTCCCGGTGAATTGGTGGTATAATCCTCCCTTGCGTAAATCCTCCAGTTTCATTATAAGGAGGATAAGTGTTGTGGGTTTCGGTGAACAGTTATACAGTCATGCGCATTAAGGGAAACCTTGTCTGGTTCTTTAGCAAAACGATCCCGACGTCTCATACATGTAGGTACCGTCACATTCAAAAATGGTACTACGTGTCAACAAATCAAAACATGTCAGTACTGTTTTGATCCTAAATAAATCTGTCGTTTTATTTACCAATGGAATACAAAATGTCAGATCATTTAAACAAGGCATGACGAACGTATGGAGCGAGTTTCATGAGTTTTGTGCAAGAGGGTGGGATTTAAACGCCGTACGAAAAAAATACTCACTTTCAGGGTCTGCCACTTTCGACTTCGCGTCTCCAATGTCCATACAGCGCTGGAGACGGTGGCGGAAGGCGCGTGCTGCGGCCAACAGCTTCTGAAGGAATGCAGGATCACCCCTGATGTCATTGCATACCTCCTTGATCGTTTGGTGCAACACACGATCGAGGAGGTGTGCAGTGACATCAGGGGTGATCCTGCATTCCTTCGGAAGCTTTCGGTCGCAGCGCGAGCCTTCCGCCACCGTCTCGGCGCTGTATCGACATTCTGAAAATGATAATTGTGGCGTATGGCGTTTAAACCTCAACCTCTTGCACAGAGCAGATAAAACTCGTTCCATAAAATTTGTCATGCCTTGCTCACATGATCTGAAATTTTGGTTTAATGCCATTGGTAAACAACGGGGTTAGTTAGGATCAAAAGTGGGACATGTATTTTGTTCGACACGTATACATGACGCAGCATAAACGTGTGATGGAGTATTTATAAACGAGGGCCTCGCTCGTAGCATCCTCCAGCAGTCCAGCAGTCTCTTGAGAACAAAACATCGAGATTCATTCTCACCACTGGCTCTTTTCAGAACCACCACTTTCTCATGAGAGAAATTTTTCCAAAGTGTACCCTTAAGCTTATAGTCATATTTCACTGGTAAATTTCTTCATGTTTGTAAGCGCTATGCTAATTGAGTTATTGAGTTGTAGGTCTAAATGTTTCTGCACTGTCAGTGCTTATAGCCAGTATATGACAACGGAGGACCTTTTTTTCTTTTAAACAATTCTCCCCAAGGGAGAGAGTCCTCAGTTTCGTTGCTAATTTGAAAGTCGCCTAACTCCAAAGCACTTACATTTTATAATGGCGACGGGAACAAAGAGTTTTCTACCAACTAAAATCAGGGCCTCATCAGAACGGCGAATTATTCTGATATCACCAAGCTTTAAACATGTAATCATGTGTTCAATCACGGTTCAATCGACAGCTCAGACATATAGGCCTATATTAAACTGTAATACTAATAGAGAAAAAGTTTAGGCCTACCGCTGATCAGAATGCACGCGCGGCTTACTTCAGTGCGCATGGCCTTGTTTGACAACGGGACCAAACTCCGAGATTATAGACGGTATCAGGCTAGGCCCTAATCTATTCATGGGGGAATTTGTAGAGATTCACGGTAGCAGCATGCGGTCGCTCCGCTGTTGAGAATGATTACAAAAGAGAGTAGTGGTAAGAATGAATTGTTATGAAACAATTCTAAAAATAGGAACATCTTTGAAAAGTGTGCCGTAAAAAGTTTTACAATCTGATACAACTTTCAGCAGAGGAATAGTGGCAGGGAATAGTTAAAAAAGAGTCCAAAGTAACAGGTCACGGTACACATAAAATTTGAACGGTCGTAAAAGGCAATACCGTTTTGAAATTTCCACTGCAAAAGAAGTTAGGCCCTGTTCCACCTGCGGTACAAAATCCTGGCTGCACCAATTTGGATTATCGTTTTTGGAACCCCAATCTGAGGTGTTTATTACGTGTATTATACCTTCGCCTTTGTTTCGAATAACAACACAATGGAAAGCGAATTCACGAAAAAGACAGTGTCGTAATTACACCCCCCATGATTATGTAAATTTAACGACATTTTGGACCAATAGGACTGTCCAGTGTGTATCAAAAAGGTAATCCAAAGATATATTTTAAAGATTGACAATTTGTACTTTAGCACGGTTGTATCCAGAGGCATAATAGGATCATTCGCATTTATCTCAAAAGTAACCTACCGAATTATTATCAAAAAAACTACTTAACACCCCGTGAAATTATTCTGTTTGGCTTGCTGTCATTTGTAGAAGAAATCAAGAAATATGGGTGATTTCCAACGATCAGTCAATTGACTTATATTTGGAAATAAAGAGTGCCATAGATATCGTGCTTCGTGATCATTGAAGGTTGTACTTAGCTTTTCGACTGTTTTCTCAAAAATTGAATATCCACTCAGCTGAAACTTCAACCGGTTAGGTTTTGAATATTCTTCCTTGGATTTTGAGTGGTGTTATTATTGAAAACGAACAAATTGCATGAAAAGCAAATGATCCTTTTATGCCTTCGCACTCGCAGTAGTTCTGATCAAGATATGTACCACCAGTGGCGTAGACAGGAATTTTTCAGGGGGAAGGGGGGGGGGGGGGGGGTGGGGGGGCTGGAACATTTCATGGGGGGGGGGGCGTCGTGTAGATCAATGATAATTTTTTTAGAAACTCAAAATCTCAGTGGAGGGGGGGGGGGAGCGACTGGGGGGGGACAAGGTTTCGTGCCCCCCCCCCCCCCCCCCCCCGTGGCTACGCCACTGTGTACCACCCCCACTTAGCGATGGATGGCCTTGGTGCCAACAGGTTTTTAGAGCTGGGACCTATACCAGTTTGCCCTGGCTTGATTTGGGGCCGCCTCGTAAGTCCGACGCCTCGTAAGTCCGACGCCTCGTAAGTCCGACGCCTCGTAAGTCCGACGGCCTCAAAGTTTACCGCTGATCAGAATGCACGCGCGGCTTACCTCAATGCGCATGGCCTTGTTTGATGATGGGACCAAACGCCGAGATTATAGACGGAATCAGGTCTAGGCCCTAATCTATTCATGGGGGAATTTGTAGAGATTCACGGTAGCAGCATGCGGTCGCTCCGCTGTTGAGAATGATTACAAAAGAGAGTAGTGGTAAGAATGAATTGTTATGAAACAATTCTAAAAATAGGAACATCTTTGAAAAGTGTGCCGTAAAAAGTTTTACAATCTGATACAACTTTCAGCAGAGGAATAGTGGCAGGGAATAGTTAAAAAGAGTCCAAAGTAACAGGTCACGGTACACATAAAATTTAAACGGTCGTAAAAGGCAATACCGTTTTGAAATTTCCACTGCAAAAGAAGTTAGGCCCTGTTCCACCTGCGGTACAAAATCCTGGCTGCACCAATTTGGATTATCGTTTTTGGAACCCCAATCTGAGGTGTTTATTACGTGTATTATACCTTCGCCTTTGTTTCGAATAACAACACAATGGAAAGCGAATTCACGAAAAAGACAGTGTCGTAATTACACCCCCCATGATTATGTAAATTTAACGACATTTTGGACCAATAGGACTGTCCAGTGTGTATCAAAAAGGTAATCCAAAGATATATATATTTTAAAGATTGACAATTTGTACTTTAGCATGGTTGCATCCAGAGGCATAATAGGATCATTCGCATTTATCCCAAAAGTAGCCCACCGAATTATTATAATAAAAATCTACTAAACACCCCGTGAAATGATTCTGTTTGGCTTGCTGTCATTTGTAGAAGAAATCAAGAAATATGGGTGATTTACAACATCAGTCAATTGACTGATATTTGGAATAAAGAGTGCCATAGATAGACGAAATCGTG